CCCGGAGTGGCCACCTGTTGGGGGGGTCCTCCCCCCCATACCCCCTAAGCCTTCTGGCAGAACAAGTTCTGACTTTTGAAACGAAAGGCTCCCTGGGGAGAGCTTTCGTGATTCAGACACCGCGCGGTGGCTGAATCTGCTCGAATGCCTTGAAAAAGGCTGGCGAGGATTGCTGAGATGCGAGCTGTTGGCAACTGGATCTCATTTGTCTGACCTTCTTTGAAGCCCTCCTGGTCTGGGACGATCTGGGGCACCCGCTCCGCTACTCCAGCACACTAACCAAAGCTGCTACCACACGTGTCCTTTTCGACCATCTTCTTGAAAGTGTCGCACTCGTACGCGATCCGCCTGTCCTTTGGCCAATCTTTGAAGGGTCTGCTGGGAAAGACAGATTAACACATAAGCTAACATGCATGCATGCTCCCAGACGGCAATCCCAAATCCCACGTGCAGAGTCCAGGAAGAACTCGTGGCCGTCCGCGCTGACCAGTCTCAGAAACCTTGTCTGCAGCGTATTTCGAAAAGGAAGGGCGACGGGAACTGCGCATGTTGCGACTTAAGCTGGCAGGGCGCGAAAAGGTCTCCACGGGATCCAGATGCGGATTGTCCATATCAATGCCCGCCTGAGAGGGAGATGCAATGATGTATTTCGGCATGGGAACTGTGAGCCATGTGTCAAATCTAGCTTCACAATTTCTCGATCCGGGCGACCATCTTCCCTGCACCCTCTTTGGAAGAGGGAGGCGTCCTTGAGCCCAAACTGCACCAGTGCGACTCCAGGGCCAAACCAGAACTGACCAAGCTAAGTTGTTTTTGACATGATAGCATGGAGCATTCGAAACAGCCCAAGAGAGCCTAGCTTGGGGCTCTCGTTTGACGTTAGGAGCCAGGCTTGGTCTAAGAAGCTCTCATCCAAGGCTGCATCTACCTGCAGAGAGTCCGAACCAAAGGTCATATCACGACGACACCCATTCTGACGTGAGGCCAGAATTACATCGGACCTCAATGACTTTACCGCGCTTTGTGGGCGTGTGGATGTGCTCCTGGGTGCTGGGTACAGGCAAGCAGAGCTGCCGCTTTCACCCAGTCGGAGCAGGCTGCACCTCCATGAACATTGCCAGCATCCTCTTGCGCTCCTGGCCCAGGAAAGGCAGAAACATTGTCACGAAAACCCGAAGCCCAAGAAAGCTCCAAAGACCGTCTGCCTCCAGGCTGGGCAAGGGAAACTCGAAGTTCTCATCCTGGGATCCCAGGAGGCTATGATGCTCCGCTTCATTGATGTTTCTAGAGAAGCTTGCTGGGCCGCATGCGACACGATCGAGCACTGCTCTGTCAAGTATTTCTCGGATATTGGTGGCCAGCACTACGACGAACCTGTCTTGCAGCTGAAGAAACCCACTCATTGCGAACCTTGTACACACCAGCAGACGACTTGGGTGTAGTGTCAGAAACACACTTTGCTTCAGCCATCAGCATTTCAGCGTACCACACTCTGGGAGCAACCGCTTTGACAACCGCATATTGGTGCACAGTTACAGCACAGCAGCAAATTCCGATAGCCCCAGAAGAGACTTGCCAGTCAGGCTTGTCGCTTTCGGTGCCGGTGTGGTGCAAGAAGGCTGACAGCACGTTCCGAGCCTGCAGACCCCACTTGGTGATCTGTCCCGCTGTGCCGGAATGAACTACATGTGGGCTCCATCTTCGGCAGTGGAAGCTCAAGTAAAATAGCAATAAGAGTTGCCAGGACAGCCGGTGCTGTTTGCCATGAATCTCGAGAGCCTCCTCGCTCATCGAGCCCGTGTCGGAGCCTCTGCCAGTACGAAGGAAGGCATCGGCCTCGCCGGAAGACAGGCCGAAAGCGACAAGGCTGCGGCAGCAACGCAGGCTATGTGCAGAGTTACGGCGGGCAAACGCTCCTCGTCGATGAAGAGGATGAGTCCTCGCCTGCAGCGTAGAACTGTAGGATTTCTTTGTGCAGATGCAGATTTCGCGGACACCGGTTTGCAGGCAACTGAACTCCGCCCAGCTGAAAAGCCTTTCCTGGACGAGTTGGCCCAGGAAAAGAGCTTGTTCAGCTCGTGTACCTCGCGTCACTCCCGTGTTTGTGGATGCAGTGCCCAAGGCAGCTCCTTTTTCGATGAGATCGGCACCCTTCTTGGGACGTCTACGGCCTTGGCTTCGCATGTCCGGCCTTCGGCCTTGTGCTGGGTCGGGAAGGTGCACAGAGTCGGTTCGGGCGCAGCATCTCTCGTCCCATCTCGTCCCTGCAGGGGTGGCTGCCAGGTCCGACGAGTCCATCCGAGGAGCTTCTGGAGCTAGAAGCGGTGGTTGGCGCCACGCGGCCTGAAGCCTGCGTGTGGAGGCTTTGGATCCCGGGCCCTGCGGCTCTCTGGCGCTGGGCTTCGACTGCGGCTGCGAGATTCTTTCCGGCTTGGGCCTGTCTCTGAAGGCTTGGCCTGCAGTCGCTTCAGAGCTGCTGCGGCTCTGTCAGCCTTGGATAGCTGCGACTTATCATTCTTCTTGCGCCCGAAGTCATCATATGCGCAGTCATCCTCGCGTGGAGGCTGTCGGCGCTCGACTTCCTGTCGGTCATTGTAGCCTGCCGCGATTGCAGGCTGCAGGATCAGTGAGCTCCCACGTCGCCGTTTCGTACAATGCTTCGCTGACTAGAACGGCAGATGCGCTGCATAGCGACATCGAACAAAACGGCAACTCACTCTCTGACCCCCGACATGCCGCTAGTAACTTACTTAGATCGCACCTCCACCTCGGCCACCCTCTGCTGTTCGTTGCTTCTTGCGCTCCTCGGCCTCCCGCTTGGTGCGCTCGGCGAATTCCTCCATCCTTACATGGTGCCAGCTTCAGGGATGGAATGCGATCAATGTAGTCTCTTGGATCTTTGGCCTTAGTGTCACACCTCCACAAGTTCAAGATTACCAAACTACTCTTCGAAGATATCGTCCAGGGTCGGTTTGGCCTGCTTCGCAGCAATCGTGGCCCGGGACTGGCCACCGATCGGGTCATGGATTGTACCAGGCATTTCGGACTCTTTCTGCAACTCATGCAAATTCAGTGTTCCCTTTGCAGTGCTGCTTCTTCGGCTAACGATACATCCGAGTGTCAGGTGCGTCGTCTATAACTAAGTTTTTAAACCATTAGAGTCCGTTACAGGGACGGTCATGATTGCAGCGCACGGGGTGTGAGCTTTCTGGATGAATCCCGTGCGGAGGCAGTCTTGAGCCATCGCGGCTTTGTCTTAGGAAGAAGGGCACGTGTCTGACGGAGGGGACGACCTAGGCTGGCGCACCGCATCCTTTCCAAGCGGCCCGACGTCTCCACCGGACATGATCGCATAGTCCAGGCCTCGGGGCAGATCCGAAAGCAGCCGAAGGCCAACGCTTTGTTTGGGGGGATGTTGTGATGCTCTTGCTGATGGGCTCCTGGCCGGACTGTCTGGCGAGGGTCCGGGCGAAGAGCGTCTTGCCTGTTCCGGGAGGCCCATGCAGGAGAAGGTGCCTGAGACAGGTCGGTGGTTTGACTGACGGCGGGAATCTAGCAAGATCAGGTCGGAGCCTGTATGGGGTTCCATTCTTCTTCGCGTTCACCAGGGAGTTGGTTGTCCACTGCAGTCGCTCCGTCAGTTCGTCCTGCACGGCTAAGATGTCTCCCTGAAAGGCTGAAAGAATCGAAGCGGCCTCCAAAACGATCTTTTCCAGGAAGCCGCCCTGCTTCTTCGAGGAGATCAAGCTCTTCAGGCCATCGCGGCCTGGCAGCTCGATTCCAATGATTCCAAGCCCTCCAAGCCCTTGGCTCCGCTGGGCTGGGCTCCCGACCCCACGTCAGGCGCGAGGTCTCCCGGACCAAAGGAGGACGCATCAACCGCCTCCACTTCAGTGCTCTCCGTTCGCGGCCCATGAAAATCCCAGAACGTGCACAAAGCTCCAGTTTGGAAAGCGAAAATTGAGCTGCTGTCGAGGGAGCTCAGAAAATCCATCGAAAACTGTGAAACGCAGAAACGGGCGGCAAACACGGCATGAATTTGCCGGAAGATAACTTGCAAAGGCTGAATTCTAAATATATATGACACCTTTTGACACTGTTTGCGTCAAAGCGGTAGCACATTTCCTGAAAGGCTGGAATCATTGCTTGTCACGCGCTCAAGCCACTGCTGAGCCACTTTCAATCGATGCATGCCGGGAAGGCCTTAGACATCGTGGGCTCGCAAGGGTATCAAGCTGTGCATTTTCCTGTGTAACGCAACTGAGGGCTACTTGCAAGGAGCTGAAAAAAATTTAGAAGAGGCCAAGGCGGCCAAGCTGCGATACAAGTAAGCGAGGCGACGCAAGAGGCTGGCAGGCCTGGAGAGCAGAGAAAGACTCTGCTGATCCACTTCAAGAGGTAGCACAAGTAGTGGTTTTGTCTTTATCTCTTTTGATCAGGTTCGTGCTCCCACCAAAAAAATCTAGGGAGTGCTGCCTCGGCGCCTAGCTTCACTTCTTTGGCAAAGCTCAGAGTCTTTTGTCAGGTCCCTTTGCCCCGGAACATGTGTCGAGAGCTTCGGCAGTCTTAGTGCTGGACATGATATGCTGGACACAAACTACAAGCCATTTAAGGCGTTCTTGCAGACATACGGTCTCCATGTCCTCATGACCGATGAACTTACAGTTGATGGCTTCGGGGTTGAGGACTTGGGATTGAGACAGTTGGATATACTCGCATGCACCCCTCTGCTACGTCGCATTCTTCCTTCTCCACAACTTCCCGACACATGCACGTCCCTTGAGTAGTATGATCTCTCTTACACCATCAGATTTGTCGCCAAGAGTTGCTGGGTATCGAAATATAAGGCTGGCGGCATGTTGTTCTCACTGCCGCATCAGCTGTTTTCCAAGGCCCCATAAGGCCCATGTCGCCAACATGAACAGCTCGCTTTGCCCTTTCGCGGCCGATTAGCAATGATGCTTTGGGGGTCTTGATGTGTGTCGTAGTGCCAATGCTGCCAGTCTCATCATCAAGTCCAAAACCAAAGTACACAGTAGCTGGATCTGGCCAAATCGCGCTCAGATCCGGTAATGCTGTAAAGCTTTGCGAAATGCCTGCCAGCGACAGCTGCCTTTGCTGTGGAAGCTTGCCCAACCTTACCGAAGTTTTACGAGAATTGCGGCTGTTGGACCGTTACGAAGACCTGTCCGGCTGCCCCCTGAGCAGTTAGCAGAGGATACCGTCGGCGCCACAGCACGTGCAATAGCCTCCCAACATCACAGCCGTGTCACAGTGTCTACTAAGTCGCCAGGGCTTGAACAGTATGCAAAAAGGACATCTCTGAAACATGTCTGGAATACCAGAGCTGTCAAGCCATCATGGAGAGTATGAGCTGGGTTCTCGGCTGGAGGCAGTGCCGGGGGAAGCAAATTGCCCAGCTGTGTCGGCTGAACGACGCCGGCAGCCTCCAGGTGTTCTGCTTCACTCCTAGCTGTCCCTTGGGAGTACTGTACGGCCTCTGTGCTACCGAGGGCAATGAACTCGCCCATGGCATTGGGCTTAAAGCGCCGCCAGGTGGGGCGTGGCCTTCGTTGAGTGTGTGTCGTGCCATCCTCACTTTGGAATGCCGACAGGGAGCATTGGGTCATATAGGGCGCCTGCTCACAAAGCTTTTCAATACAGGCTTTCGGGCGATGCCACTTCCGTGGTCACTAACTACAGTCTGCAAAATGTCCAACTCCCTCGCCCCCACCCCTTGTGGCCGCATCCTTCCGCCCTGACAACTACTCTGGTTGCATTGCTTGAGCGTCAGCTTTAAGGCCTAAATGAAGTGCTCAGACATGCCGAGTATTTTGGGCGGCGACTCTGCTGTGGAGAGAACGCGAGAAACACCGAGGCGAGCCGCTGTGCGAGGAAACGCATGCATTCCTTTACACGCCTTACTCCTTTGAGCCGGCTTGTGGAGGATAATTTGGATGGCTCTCGCACATTCGTCATTCCACGGAGGCTGCTTACGTCTGTTTGGTGTTTAACATGTTTCGCCCAGCAGTCTTCATCTTTGCAATACACTAGGACTAGGACCAATACTCAATACTCTTTGGGGCATAGAAACGCTTCTGCCCAACAGCAGCCTACTGTAGCTCAAGCTCAATGCACTGACATCATCCACAGATGCTCCGAGTCTCAGGTCTGCACAGATGCGAGAGCTGGGCGAATATGTTCCACGCAGTTGTTTCGGCCTGCTGCATGGCCTGGAAAGCACTGGGTCGCGAATCTGAGGGCCTTTCCAATTTTGGAGACCTCAGTGCAAGACAATCTGGCCAGTAGGTGGTGAGCCTCCTGATGCATCCCCGAGACCTAAGCACCAGCAATCGAAGGGCCACGGGGAAATAGCGAGGCAACAAACCGCCTTGAACAGCTAAGGCACAGAAGAGACCAGGTGCAATCCGCAGGTACGAATCAACCACCTGCAGCAAGCGTCTCCAAGTATCGAAACAGATTGGCTCGCACTAAGCTTCCGACTGCACGACCCTTGTCAATGGATTCCTGGCTACATTCTGCATTCACATTTCACTCGCGAACCGCAAAATCAACAACTTCGCCTCGTCTACCGAAGAGGCTAGTTTCAGCCTGGAGCTCCGAGAATGCTGCGACCCTCACATCGTGGACAGGCCCGAGCTTGAGTCCCGCCTCTCCTCCACGGATGTGGCCAAAGCCCCGGTCACGATGACCTGATTGATCAAGGCCCTGTCTCGCCTCGATGCTCCAGGAGTCTGTGCTTCCAGCGAGGCTGCAGGAATGCAGCTCGGACCTGACTCCGCAAGGCTGGGTCATCGCGCCTTCGATGATCTGCTGTCCAGGGGGCCTCTCTGTGCCTGTCGGAGACCATGCCACTCCCTCCGCCTTGGCATCTCCACCCATTTCACACCACAAAAGAAAGGTGCAAGTAATCTAGATCCCAGCAGCATCGATAGACACCACACGGCCTCCAAAGAGCAGGGAACACTTTTTTGCGTTTTTCTTTGAGATTTCCCGAATGGCTAAAGCACCGAGATTGAAACCTGTCTTTCGCAGGATGCCCAGCTTGTCCAAGACTTCTGCACTCTTCTTCTGGTTAGCTTCTTCGCAGCCTAACGGTGGCCGCGGTGATGAATTCTCTCGCCGAGTTGAATGCTCGCCTGGAAGAAACCGGGAGCCGAAGAGGGCAATGCGCCCCGCAGCCGCAGCCTCGGGCAGGACCTGCCGCTGTCACTCTAGGCCCTAGGCTGCAGTTGCAGGAAGACCGCGTACTACAGGGCTTTGCGTGACTCAGGAGCGCTGGATATGCCTCTGCTAGACCAGCAGCAAGCTCAACACCGACGTAGCCTGCTCCTGCCGCGTTGAGGACAGTGGACCTATGTCACACAAGAGACGTCGGTGTGGGCCTACGATGGCGACAGATTCCACAGAGTGAAGGCGTCGGCGCAGGGCATCGGCCTTCAGGCACTCGGTAGTCGTGGAGGTTTCGGCTCTTGGGGGCCCTTGGGGCCCCCGGCATCTGCAAGGGAAGAGAAGCGCAAGGCCTCTGGCGGCAGACACTGCAAGCGAGCGCTCCGCGCAGGACAGGCCGGGCCTTGCCGCTTTCCAAGGCTTCCGCAAGCCCGGGCAACGAGACGAAATCGGACTGACCTTGCACACCATGGGAATCCTCCATGCTCTGCCTGAAGATCCGTGCTCAATCATGACGTTTTGGGTGCTCATGCACTCTGGGCATGGCCTTCGTCTTGAGAACGCGATCATCAACTAACAATTAAATTTCCGGTGCACCTTTCAGCATTTCAAAATCTGAGTCACTGAGGACGGCACCCACGCCACCAGATGCAATCACAAGCGCATCAAACGAAAGACTCTGCGGTTCCTACAGCAGTGCTGCAATATGTTGAACCTCTCACTCTCGGCATGCATCAGTGAAAATTAAAACCTTGGACTCCTTGGACTCGGACATCTTGGGCTTGGGCGAGGGAGAAGGAAACCTCTGCAGTTGGATGCCCCTTCCCCTGGAGCGGCGGGGCTAGGGTGTTTTGGCCTGCCGCCGGCGCCAGTCCACCTCAGAGGCCTTGGCAACCAGTGTAAACGGATCTCTTTCTCATCAGAGACGGCCGCCATTTCCAACTTCGGGAGCAGGCGCTGCCCTGAAGATGCTGGACCGACGATGCATCCTGTATCTTCTTCTGTCCAGTTTTTCCCAGGTTTTGCAGCTGTGGGGGTACCCGTGTCCTGCAGCAGCTCCCGGTATGTTGGGGCCTCGATCTTGCAAACATGACCGCAGCCGCACAGCACACCACCAGGGCAGCGATTCCGGCATTGAGCGCGCAACACATGGAGTCTGCATAGTGCATGCGCTTTCACTGTGTGTATGTAAGTCTAGCACGAACTCTTCCAGCTCCACCACACCCGTTGCATAATCGATCAGCAGCGGCCTTGGCTTGCCGGAGATATCAGTCCTGCCAAGCTCCGCATAGGTGCGCCGAGGAGGATGCAGGAAAACATATCTGTCTTTTGGATCGAGAAGCTTTACCTGTGCACGCAATGCAAGAAACGCCAGAGCCGCCACAAAAAATAGACACAGGCTTGCCTCTGGTCTAGACTTCCATGGCATCTGGTCCAAGCGCAATGCCAAATTCAAGCCTGCGGTGGAATGAAGGCTTGCGTGTGCATGACGTCTTCTTTGCACCCCGGTGAGTATGGACTACTGATTAGTGCAGACGTCCCCTTAAGTTTGAAGAACTTCGCATTTCAGCGGCTTTGCCGATAGCCTTCGGTACTGAGACGGACGCACTTCAGAGCGAACTGGCACAGCGTTCGGACAAATTTGCAGCCGTAAGTAGTCTTGAGGACTCTATAAGTAAGATATTGTATATTTGACCTCTGCTCGGCAGTTAGACTCCTACTAGGTCCAGGTGCTGCCGCTTGAACCCAAAACCCAAACTTCTCCCTCACGAGCATGGTTTTCAAATATCGAGGGTGAATGAGGGTTGAGGGCGTTTGGTTGCGTTTGTTTTTGGATGAAGTTTCTTTCTTCGCTTCAGGGCCCCTCAACCCAGGGTGGAGCTGAACACCGGTGCCCGGAACTGCCCGGAGTCCGCTTGGCTCCGCTTGGCTCCGCCTGGCCTGCCAATCCGCCACCAACAACTACGATCTGTTTGCCTCAGAGGACGCCATTCACACTTTGGGTCTGCCAGCGAATGTGCCAAGGGGACGACGACTGGCCGCTCTCTTCGAGTAAAGCTGGCGACCTCGGGCCTGAAGATCGCAGCCAGGCAAGAAAAGAACATCAAAAACCGCCGAGATGCCAACGCTTGAACAGAGCGCAGCGGCACCTGACTTCCAAGCGCCAGGGAAAGGACTCCCCTGCAACTCTCGGATCAGTGCCTGCAAAAGCAGCGGCCCCACCGGCTAAAAGGTTCCTCACGCTGAGCATGGCTTGCCGGATCCGAAGCATTCCATGAATCACGGGCCTCGCGGCCCCGTATGACCTTCGCGAGACATCTCCAGCCTGCGGTGTCAGAACATGTCATGTGGCACAGAGCCGGCGAAGCCGAAACCAAAGTGCCAAGAGTTGCACCTGGTAGGCCAAAAGCCCTTCTGGCGTCTTACTTTGGACCTTGCAATGGGCTGGACGAAGGACGGCTGCAGCAGCTGTTTATGGTGCTTTACATGGTCTCATTCCCAGTGAGCTCACCTTGAAAATATCTTAAGGACCCGAGCGCAAAGAGGGGCGCTGAGAATGGAAGCGCTGGGAGCAGTAAAGCATGCCATGGCGCTTGTCTTGATCGTGCTTTGCAGCAGGGAAGGAACTGCGGTGCGAGTGAACGCTCGAGTCACTGTGAACGGTCGGTGGTGTCGGACTGCTTGACACCTTGGCTGGGCCACATATGATCCTGCCTGGTCTTGAGCCAGCTGAGTCAATCCCATCGTTTTTGGTTTCGATGATGTGAGACACGACTGCTAAACAAAAAGTCCCGTGAGGAACAGGCCTTTCGATCAGGTTGCCGGCAACGCCTGTCGCGGCACGTGCACCGTACCTGAGGTGCTGATTGCAATGGTCGCAGGCCGGGATGTTCTCTTGGAACATGAAATGACATCAACCTGCTGGCAGAGTCTTGGGCTCCGGCACGCCTAGGGCCAAAGCAGTGAGGCCACCAACGAGGACTGTCATCTTTGATCTGTCCTGGCTCGCTTCTGTCATTCAGTGGCAACACTAACGAGCATGAATGCCCTAACCAAATATGAGACCCAAGAGAACTTGGACACGCTTCAGGTTTTCTCTTAACCCCCCCCCTTCGCAAGGCAGACCCTCCTCAGACCCTCTGCTCCTCAAGAAGCGACCTTGTTCCGGCTCCCAGCCCGGCAAAAACCGCCTGCAGTCAAGCAGGAGAAGGCACAACCATTGAAACGCATCAGAAATAATAGTACCCAGTAACAGTGATAGCAGCAATAACAGTAACAACAATGATGAAATGAACAGTAAGAGAGAAATGAACAAGGACATGAATCAAGGGGGCGTCACTGGCGCTTCAGCGAGGCCTGGATTTGTTCTAACCGCGTCTTCCTTTCTTCTGCCATGCGCGCCCGCATTTCTCGGAGCCGGACCTGGCACAACATTTCCCAGACAAACACCTCACAGTACAGTATATTATTTTTATCTCATCTTCTATTTTATAGTATACTATATCAATCCTTTTTGGCAATAACGCCCGCCAGGTCGGCCTCTACATTTTCTCGCTCCTGCTCAATCCTGCAGGAGCATGTTGTCGGCAAGTGCCACGTCTGATTTCTGGCCAAACCCCGTCAGGTCTTCACGCCCTACCGCTGCACAAACAAGGCAACACGTTTTGCGGCCAGCGAGCTACGCAAACACATCCTTGCCCGGCTTTGTACCTGCTTCACCCCCAACTCAGCCCGGTTTATGAGAAAATACCCTATCCTTGCAAGGAAGCTCCCATACCCCTACCTCGACCGTTCCACCGTGCATGTATATAGTAGCGCATAGAAGTTGGTATGGTTGCCACAAAATGAGGCTTGTGTGCAATCATTCATCCGTGCTTTCCACCAATCACCTAGCTTTGTTTCGGTTGCAGTAGACTTCTTAGGCGCCTTCAGAAGCAGGCTGAGGCATAGACTGTGGTGAGTTGAAGGGCATGTCAGGTCGGGCATGAACTCTAGCCGGAGCTGATCGCCGCTCAGATGTGCAGGGAGTTGATGACTCTGCTGTCTGTCTCTTCCGCCTCCCAGGAGAACCTCGGCTTTGCAACTGAAACATATCTAGGCATCCTAGTCCTACTCGGACTCAGGAATGCACTCTCTGGAGATGGAGACACTGACATCCACATTGTACGTCAAGTGCCCCCAGTCTGTGGGCACCTTGAGCAAAAGTCGCACCCGGCCGAATGCAACGTAGGGATTCGCGGCGAAATTCACACAACCCGTCCTAGGGGTTCTTCCAGCTAGCTGCACCAACTTGAGATTGTCACCAGCTTTGCCAACGTGAGTGACCAGCAAACAAGCTACTAGTAGTTACAGCTGCCTGGTGTGCCAACTCTGGTTTAGTGATAAACGTCTCCAGTGCGCAAGTGCGCTTCCTGAACACTAGCTCGCAATCTGCAGTTCTGGGGATCGCGCATACATGATGTCCCCGGGTGCCTCATTCTTCATTGACTGGAGTTGTCTGTGCATGGCCTGCAAACTTGCTGAAATCTACGCCTACCCGCCTGTTCGCAGTACAGGGGGAGCTCGCTCTTTTGAGCCAGAGCCTCCTGCAGGGTCCCAACAGGCCTGTCGAGACGTGGGGGAGATGATTGGCCACTTCGTGCACTTCGGTCTCAGCCTCAAATTTTGCCTTCGCTCCTGGTCCTGTTGCACTGCTTGTATGGCCTGTCAGATCAAGCGAGGGGGCTCTTTGCCTTGTCATATCACTTCTCGGCTCCCTTTCCGAGCTGCGGGCGTGCTGCCGAGAAAGCGCTGACTTCGGAGGTGGATAGAACCTCGCCGCTGCTCGGTCCGTCGAGTCAGTTCGGTCATGCTCGAAGCGCTAAAGCCCTCCCAGGTTTCTGGCAACCATTGCTTCCTTCCTCGGAAGAGAGAGGCATAGGCGTGTGTGTGGTAGTGCCTGGCGAGAGGTGCTGCACTGATGCACTCTGCACAACACGGTGATGTCAGATGTAGGGGCTTATAGATGGCTTATAGTGCAGTAGTCAGAATCCCTGACAGTACCAGTATCGTGTGCATGTGGCGGATGACATATCAGGACATTATGTGGCTTCTGCGGCCTTGAACATGCCGGCTACACTGCGGGGCTCCCGAGCCAGCTGGCCCTAATCCAAACTGGATGTTGCCGAGGCGGTAACGAAGCTTGCCGGACTCCTTTCACAGGGGCCGTGGGAAGCTCAAAGGAGACAATCCATGTCGGAGCCTGCATCCAAGAAGGATGGGGCGTGGCGTCTCTCTGGACCAGTGCAAGCATCTTCTTGAACCTGGATGGCATTGCAGGTGTAGAGAATGTATCTTCTGCAAACCTGGGCTCACAACGCTGGGTCTTCCTGCTCCACAACTGAGAACACATACAGCCTCAAGCAGGTGTCTGTTTCTGACGTGAGCAACCTCGACACTCTCCTGGGAGCCTTACGGCGTGCCGGACGAGGAGTTGACCTTTCCCATAACGTTATTGACGTACCTGCAGAAGGTACCGGTGCGCCAGTGCCCACACCGATGAGCAATCTACGAGAGGCGTGCTCTCTCAATGAGAGACGGCGTGCGTCTTTGGCATCAATGTCCCCAAAGTCTTCTGGATAAGGAATCGTCACAGCCTCAAGCGTCTTTCCGCTGTGACACGGCGTCTGCCAAACCAGGGACTCCGGAACTTGCAGAGTTTATGGAACAATTTCTGAGCCTGGCACAGACATAATCGTCTCACCGACCTACCATGGCATCGTGGAACTCTGTATGCGGCAGGGATGTTCCAGATACCTCACCTTTCGGACCAGGTAGCGTAATGACCAGCGCTCGAAGGCGGGCATGTGCCTAGCACCGCCGCCTCAGAGAAAACGCTGCGAAGCAAAGCCTCTTTGATGTTCTCTGCCGGCGTCTGTCAGACTTTCTTGGAAGAGGCTCAGCCCGTTACGAACCAAGAGGGGGCGTCGAAGCGACAGATAGTCGTCCACGAAGGTTTCGGCAGAGAGCTCCTGCGAACTCGTCAGCTGTGCGCAAGACCGCAATCTCAACGGCTGTCCTCTGCTGCCACCACCGCGAGTTCACACGTTTGACTCTCTGGCCGGCCCTGCTCCACGCGGAGATTCATGCAGTGAAGGCTTCTAGCATCATAAGCCGTCGGAGCTTGGGACATGCATCGGGGGCAAGAACCCAGTGCAGGGCCCGAAGCAGAACACACACACACGCCCCAAGCAACAAAACATCTTGCGCAGCCGCTTTTGGAGTGCAACTTTGCAACCAACACTACCAGTACAAGTAGCTGCTGTCATCCGGTCTCCCGTCTGTTTCTGAACAGGACTTGCAGGTCAAATTTGCTCTGCTCCGTGGTCGGAGCACTCTGATCTACTCTGATATTTTGAAGGACGGATGCTTGCGGTTGCTGCGAGCAGTACTGCTCAATTGGCTGAGATGGCTTGAGCATGTACAGCATACACAAGTTTCCGAACCGGGTTCCCCGGCTTCTCAAAATGGTCGTTCTAAGCTTGCTCCAATCCGTTTATGTCCATGTCCAAAAGGCGTTTCTGGCCTGACCATGCCTGGACCCTCCGTCCCAGATCATCTCAAAGCCAAAGCCGGGAAGTGTGGGGCCCAGCCCTGGACTGTCGGAGGTGTCCGAGGGTCCAGCCCAGGCTGGAGAGAGGCTTCCCCGCTCCCAGCGATCCTTCCAGCCTGCGGGCAGCGGGTTGAAGCATCTTTCGTCTCGCTTCAGAGCTTCTCAGGAGCCTGCTGGAAGCAGTTCAGGAAGGCGCACGGATGCCTGTCGCAAGCGAAAAGCGCGGAGGCTGGCGGCCACTGGCTTTGCTGCAAGCCTCGTCTTCTAGGCTCGTTCTGGCCTCAGGCTGGAATCTTGCACTCTGCCCGCAGGTTGCTATCATCGCAAGTGCACGACCATGCATCCGTCTGAAGAGCACGTTGACAGTTGCAAGTACTGCTGACCCTTCACGTTTCTTCACATCTCTGTCGAATCTGCGTGGTCCAAAACACGGGCGCCTCTGCCCAACGCAGCTGCTTGGCCAAGTCCGGTGCAGTGCGACCTGGAAAAAAGCTTAGAAGCCTGGTCACCATGTCGACTCCTCATCTCTCCATCCTGCAGAATCCATCGTTGACACACGCGCCCCAGCATCCAGAAGCGCCTGTAGCACCTTGCAAGCTGGCCACGTCCAAGGGAAACATACGCGAAGGGTGACGATGAGCAGCGAGTCTCAGCTCCATGCACCTAGAGAACGGTGGATCACAGCTTGGTGCAGTGGCGTCCTGTTTTGAGCTCACGTCTCAGTGCTACCTGACGTCCCTCGCTTCGCCTCTGCAAGGGCTTACTTCGAGCTTCTGGATCTGCTTTGGCGGAAAGCAGCGCCTCGTGGTGGTGCAATGCAGGCCACAAGCATCAGTGCGACCAGGCAGCCTCGGCCAATGCTGAGAGGCCATGCTCCGCACCTGAGTGGGCTCTCTCAGCTTTCCGTCAGGGTTGGTTGAGGTCCAAGGCAGCAGCAATGGTGCAAGGGTGTCTTGCCTTGGGCTGGCCAATGGAAACATTCAAGTCAAGCAGCAGCACTCCCTGAAAACTTAATGCCGCATTTGGGAGCCTGACCGCTTTGCCTGCTCTGTGCAAAACTCGGGTCCTCATTATGCCCAGCACGAGATGGAGCTGGAGCGCAGACGTAACCAACTGCCGCGGCCAAGTCGCTGCACGAGCCTTGAGCAAGCTCTCGGTCACAAGAATGGCCTGGTTCTCATGAGTATCAAGTTCAAGATTTGGCTCGGGAAGTGTCCCATCGTCAGCCTTGCCATTCACCATGCGCAGTGTGTCTTCAAAAGACATGGATTGAAAGGTCCTTGGGAATGCACTGTGCAATCTGTCTTGCACTACTCTGCACAATTCACCATGACCTCTGCTGAGTTCAGGGCGAGCTGAGAAGCTTTGTCTCAGACTCCTGGCACAGCATTCACGCTGAAGACTGCTCAGCATAGAGGACACGGCAGGGAGCACGATGTCGAAACCGTAGTAATCGCGAAAAAGCCGCCCTTCAGAAAGGTGGAAAGCCGTGTGCTGCCTGCAGCTGCTGCCCTGGTAGCTTCCTTGCCTGCCATCCGCGGCTGCTGAAGCAGGGCACGGTTCAAGCCTGACAGGGCCGTGAGGTGCCGATCCGGATGGCGGTACAATACTCTGCTTAGTCGGTGACGGTGCTTGAGCTGGCCGATGCCCAACACGACAGCGACTAAGGCACCTTCAGATCTCTTCAATATTCTCGACATGTGCTTTGAGGGCCGAGGGTCGTACGGCTGGCCGCCCTGGAGAAGCCTACTTCCGTCTGGACCCCCAACTTCAGAAGGACACCCACCTCGGAGCACCAAGGCGGTTGCGTCTGCAGACTCCCCGACCAACCTGGGCTTGCCACCATGGAGGAGTCGAGAAAGTAGGAGGCACGTGCCAAGTCAGCGCCCTCCTGTGCACTCTGCATCCACATGAAGTTGCAAGCCCCGTTCAGGACGTGCATGCTGCTGGCCTCCTGTGACTTCTCTGTTGCTTGCGCACCGCTTGCTGCAATCAATTCGAGCGTCCGTGCCACATCCGGCACCTTTCAGCCCATCAAGTGTTTGAATTAGACGGCTGGACCTGCATGATCTTGCATGCTCCCCAGAACAATCTAGGCCTCGGGGTTTGAGGGTGAAGGCTTTTTTGATGTTGAGATCCTCTTCTGAGCTTCGTGCAGGTATGGAGGCATCTTGAAGCCTGCACGGTCTCATCGACAGTGTCAGTCGAGGCAAGATCAAGTCTCTCTCGGCCTGTTCCCAGCATGATCAGCATGGAGCTTCGTCGGACTGCCAGCTCCACAACGGAACTCAGCTTCACGGGCGCGTCGCCCATAAATGCGGTGATGTCACCGGGCACGATCACCGCACCTTCTTTGAGGAGCAGCTCGGCTGCAACATAATCGCCGAGGTAGGTTGCAACTGTGAGCGAGCTGAAGCCGAACTCGTCCTTCTGGCTCAGCAGGCTTCTGGCAACCGTGGAAGACAAGTAGCTCTTGAGTTCGGTTGCCCCACGTGCAGTCGCAACCAGCAGATCCCTCAGATCGCGTGCCACAGCTTGGACCACGCAAGCCAGCAAAAGTAGGCGCGTGTGTCCCAGCATGGCTTGCGATCACCATCGCTGCTCTACTTGTCGACACAGGAATCTCCCACACTCGTTTCTGCATCTGTTATGTTGTAAGTGCCCAGATGCCAACAAATCTCGGAGAAGTCAGCCGGGATCGAACCTGACCTGTAAGATTAGCATACAATAGAATAGAAAACAGCAAGCTGGAACATCATCATCCTCATGCCCCTAAGGTATCGGGAATCCCAGCACTAATCATCCTACATCATCCTAAACCCATGTTCCAGCTTTCCGATGTTCGCTGTCATCCGAGCCCACACGAGCTAGATCCGCCGACTCTTGCAGGTTCTGTGCTCGCCACGGCTGAGAGTTGTGCTCCGCGCCTGCCCTGCGCCTCGGCTCTTGCCCTGGCCTGGGCCCAGAGAGAGTCGGAGAAAAGGGGCGAAGCAAAACAAGGCAAAAAAACTCCTTGATTTTACCCGATGCGCAAGAACTTACCACTGCTTGCGCGGCTCTCGGATGCTCTGGAGGCCTCGCAGCACTCCACGGCATCTGATCTTCACGTGGCCAGATTGCAGTCACGAGTGGAGACTTCGTTTCAAGTCTCTTGGGGACATTATCGACACTGCCTTGAAATCTGCAGCGGGGAAAACTGTGCACAATAAGGGCCAGCAAACGGAGACGCGAATCGAGTCTGCGTTCTTTTTTACCGACCGAATGCTGAAAGGGTCCGTCGTTACCGAACACATGCAAAGCAGTCGCCAGCTTCACGACACTCCTCGAACAGCACCGTTCTTCTCCAACCAAGCTGCCTGATTCTGTGCAGAAAACGGCGAAAGAACAAAGAGTAGCGCGGGCTTTCTGAGCTTTGCGCCGTCTCGGACTGCTCTGCATCCACGGCCAGATCCAGGGCTGTGGCCCCGTCTGCGCGCTTGAAGTTCAGGTCGCAACCCAGGGACTTCAGAAAGTCCAGCGCCTGCAGCAACCGTGAGCCCGGTTTGTCGGCGCAAACTTTTACCGGCTGCCGCGCGAGCTGGGCCTCTGGCCTGGATTTGCCCGAATGTTGCTGCTACGTGGACGGGGGTGAGGCCCAAAGATATATCGCCGTCTGCTGACACCGACAAAGCGGGAGCCGTTATTGCCTCAGAGGTCGAAGGCCAGCCCTTCAACATCCAGCGCTCCATGACAAGTAAAAACCGGAACGGCGTCTCCCCCTTTTCAGCGTACTGGGAGTACTGGGATGCAGCCCTGATTCGTTGATGTCGGCTCCATTGTCATGCAGCCACTTTAAATTCCTGACAGCAGGGAGCCCACGGAAAGGCCAGATCCAAGATTCATAAACTCATTCCTGATGGTGTGCTAGATGCAACCTTGGCTCTGAATGTGGCCGACCTCTGCCGCATGATGGGTCGCCCTTTCTCCTGCAAGGAGCGTTCTGCAGCTCTCTTCTCCAATGCAGCTCGCCGCGACTTCATGGCCAACCGCAAGCATCCGCGCGACTCTCTGGACCGCGTCTCCTGTGTCCCGCAGCGGGGCCTGTCACTGCATTGGCAGGCGGAACTGATTCAAGTGACACGACCAGCCAGGCACACATCGATGGCACCGAGAATCTTTTCGGTCTCACGCAGCATGTCACAAAACCTCAGCCCATGCACCGAGCAGAAGCATGCCGAAGCATGCCGAAGAAGAGACTGAGAGGCGTGGACCGCTTCCAAGCCTCCAGAGCCTCCGAGTCACCGTCCTCGCGACCGCAGACCGCAAGAGATCTCTTGGCCGCATGCGGCTTGGCCTGGGCGTTGACAAAGGCGAAGTGATACTTCTCCACGACCTGACGCGACGCATGGCACTGGCAGTTCATTGTCCTCGAAACTTTGGTGCCTCTGGCGTCAGGTCTTCGCCGAAGAGTCTAGCAGCACCGTCCTGGCGCAATCAAACTCCTCTCTTCACCACCAGTTGCTACTTCGAAGCTTTCGGTCAGCTGCCTTCGCTGTTTTCGACTGTGCTTCGGCTGCATTTGCTGCTTCGCAGAACCTTAGTGTTGGAGGCATTGAGTTAAGGCTTTATGCTCCATCTGTTCTGTTCGCATCGAGCCGCGCAGATGTTCTTTCAGGCGGCGCACAAGTGCGCTGCCGACATTCCAGACAAGCTTTTTATAAAGGGGACGATAGAAACAGAAGACTTCGAAAGCTTGCTGATGCACAGACACACACACACACATTTGCGAGGTTTCTGAAAACATGCACACATGTGCTTCTGTACGCACGGCAGTAAGCTACACCAGCAGGCAGATTCGCGCTGTGGCATCTAAGAGACATCTTTCGATTGCTTTGGCTCGACACATCGCGAGGGAGAGCGCATTTGCTCGGGCTGCAGCTTCACGAACTTTGGATCGTCGTAAAAGGGTCGTCCTAGCAACATTCCCAACTGAGAGCTGACCTCGGCCCCTGATGCCCCTGGCTCCCTTTCCCGCCTTGAATGGTCTCCCCATGTTCCAGGCGCCATTTTGCAAGCTGAAGCTGCTCCGCGGAGAGCTTTGAAGCCATCGCAGCCTCAGAGAGGTGCGAAGCTTCAAGGATGCTCGGGCTTGGCCCGGCCATCTGCGAAAGTCTCGGCTTCGGATGCCTCTCCGCGGCGGCGCAGCACGGCGCCGCAGATTCGGGGATTCTACGGCTGAAGCGGCAAAGAGCCAAGAAGTCAACAGAAAGTGGCTCCACATGCAAGAACACCTGGGTCCGAAAAGCTCGCAAATGTGAACAGCCCACCCGCACCCACCCACCCACCCGCCCACACCCAAGTAGAACTCTGGATGCTCCAGGTGCCAAGATTCCGACGATGGCTGCTTCTCGGTCCAGCCGAGCTTGCTCTTGCAGAGTTCGTCGCTTCTCCTTTAGCTACAGATGCTGCCGCTACAAGTAATAGCACGACGCGGGAACTCTCACGGATTCACAGTCCTCCTCCAGTTCGAGGTTATTTCTCTTTCGCATATCTTCTTGACGGAGAAACTGTTCGTGCCTCAAGGAATCGCGATTTTCATCCCTCCCGGAATTAGCACACGAACAAATGTGATGCTCCAAAAGCGTCGTGTGAGAGATCTTGCAACTCTGTGTCTCCGTCTGTGAAAATCCGAGACGACGGCTGCATGTGCAGCTGCTGATCAATTTGCTTCTGCTGATCCTGGCAAGAAATGGGCTACTTGCAATTCACCATGTTGGCATTGACAGTTAAGCCAGATGCCTCAAGCTTGCTCTGGTAGAGCTCGCTGTCCAATCGGGCCTCGCATGAGATTGAGAAGCGGATGGTTTTCCAGCATGAAACGATGCACCTTGTACTCCGCCGTCCTTCTTTCCTGCTCCTGCTGGTGCGAGATTGTCTTCCTCCAGTGAGAGGTGACTGGAGCCGGTGTTCAAATGGCAAGAGTAACGAAGATGCACGGGGCCTCTTCTCCTCTGCATCCATCTGATTCCGTTGAAGCATCGCCTTGAGAGTGCACGGGTCCCGTGTCGGGGCTCTCAAAACCGTGCTATCTGAGGCCGGTCCTGCTGGCGCATGGTCTGTTGCTGCTCGATCTCCTTCTGCAGCTCCTGGTAGCGAGCCATGCAAAGGACTGCAAGTCTGATTAAAAGGCCGTGTCGAGAGGCCTCAGCCGGAACTTCGGGAGCCCGAGTCTCAATCTTTTCGGTTCAAGGAGGCAGCAGTGGATACGAACCAATGTGTTCATTCGATTTCATTCGCTTGCTCGGCGACTCGGGATTGCTGGTTTCTGGATGGCATTCTGGAAGGCATCATTCCGGGCTACAGACTGCTTCCTTCAGACATGATTGTTTCTGTGCCATTGCGGAAAGTGCGGGTGGCAGCAGGCCGCGCACCCGAAACCCGACACTTTATGGGCATGCCCTGCGCATCCAAACGCCCTCCGGGTTGACTGTGCAAGCACAGCCCAGGACGTATGAGGTGGGCTCGGGGGTTCTGTGAAATCTGTCGAACATCAAAATGCTCCTGCTGCTTCGTCTGTTCCGCCATCTTGGTGAGCTCGAAGGCCTCCCATTTGGAGGTCACTTGGATCGGTTTAAAGAGACACGGCAGCATGGCACCTTGGCAGCATTCGGAGAGGTGTCAAGCTCCCGGAGAGCCTTTCAAGAGTTTAGGCGCATGCGCTGCCTCTGCTGGACAACAGCACTCTGAGACCGGTACCGCTGCTCCCCTCTCGAGGGCGGAGGGGTCGAACTTACCCGTGATGGACTCTGCCTGAGGTATGGGATGTCATCTCGAGTCGGCCTTCCGAAAATCCCAAAACGTACTGTTTTCCATTCCGTTGCCAAGCTGGGCTTGCCAACCTTCTTCTCATCTTTGCCAGAGCTGCTGGAACTTTTCGGGTAAATCCTTGCATGAAGGACACTTAGTGACTTAGTGAAGACATGGCAACAGAACACAGAACAATGCCGAAACTTCGCAACAAGACGAACAGGCCGGGCTGACATGGCGGCTAACTCGATGTGCCACGGGAGATGCCGAAAGGGGACAGTAGTCGATCAAACTTCGTTTCTTACTTGGCTCGTCAAACCGTCATCGGCCACCGCTTCTGAACTGCTTGAGACTTGCCTTGGGTTTGGGTTGCAACCAATGCTGGAGCCAGGCCAGGGTTGTCACGAACACTGGCTTGCCGTGTGACGACGTGATGGACCTGCAGCTTCTACGTGACAACAGTGTCATTCTGCACGACCCGCACATCCTAGATTTTAACCCACTTCCGCTTGCCCAATGTATTCCTGCTCCCAATTACACTTCTGTCTAGCAGGCCTAAAGATCTAAAAAGAGTTGGATCTGGTGCTCAGCAGCGCTCCGGAGCTTTTCTGCATCGCATGGAGCCTTTCGGACACGTCCCGGGTCGATTGATCTGTTTCACCAACCGTAGAAGACCGGGTGCTAGCTACATGCCGCAGGCACCTCATCCCCAAGCAGCCTGCTCAAGCACTGGAAGCTTGTCGGAAAGATTCAATAGACAGAGATGCCAACAAGCAAAGCGCTAAATTGTGAAACGCTTGGCCAAACAACACACGAAAACGGAGAGTAATATCTTGTCGTGCCTCATTTGATGGCCATGCGATGCAACGGGTTTGGCGATCTGCTTTGCAGGCCACCGGCATCTGGTAATCGGTGCTGAGCTGGTCACACACGCAGCTCTGCCAAGGCGCCGCAACCTTCTGAACACGGTCAGTGCAAAGGAGTGCGTGTCCGGGCATTCACACTCCTTCCATCGGTCTATGCTTTTATGCACCTACATCCCATACAAGGTATGACTCATGACTTGTAGATGATGCCAGTATGGACAGCTGTGCGGAGCTGAAGGCAGCAAGCCTCGGACACCCCAGGCACAGCTGCAGCCCATGGGAGCTGCAGATGACCTGGAGAAGGCAGGTTGGTGCAAGGCCCAATAGATGGCCCAATGACCAAGCGCCTGCTCTGAGTCCTTGGCCAAAGGGGCGTTCACCCTAGTCCTGTATTCTTGCCACAGTCGGCGCCTGGCAAACAGAGACTCGAAGGTTCCGAAAATATTATGAAGAGCCTATAAGAGCCTGGCCTGCTTTCGTTCGCCAGGGAGCTTTGCCTTCATGCTTTGAACAGCCTTGCCAGTCTCCGGCACAGCTGCAACATGCTGAAGATGAGTCACGTGCGGAGGCAGTACCGAGAGAAAGTGTAGAGAGCACGCGGAAAGACACACAAGCGGTGCCTCGGCATTCTTTGTGTTCAGGTCATGAAGTCGTCGAGTCTGTTCAGACTCGGCCTTATCAGCGGAGCCTTTGGCCCCTGAATTGAAAATCCGACTCAAGGGTTGTCTCTGACCGCCCCTGCCTCCCCTCCGGGCGGATGCAGCTCACCATCCATGGAATCTGTGGACCAAGGGCCCTTGTACGCCGCACCATCTGCGTACACGTACCTCGCGGACGCCAGGTGCAAAGCGATTCTCTGGAGCACTGCTGAACGTTTGGACAACCGAAATGAGTGGACAACCCGGGGGCGCATGCCGTCGCCATCTTTTTGCCCTGCTTGCAGACCACCTATGTACTTGTCGCCGTTTGCAAAGAGGACGATCGACTTGCCTGTGCGCTTTTGCTACCACGGGCTATCGGCGTCTTCGGAGCTGAACCAAATCCAAGAGAGCTCTTCTGCTTCGTTCTCTGCACTGTGCTCGCCAGTGCTGACTAATCGATAGTCGTAAATTCGTAAAGCTACACGAGCTACATGATTGTAGCTTTCGAGCATCTTGGGCGGCGGCAGTCTCCAGTGCCGTCCAACTCTTCGGCTAACCTTAGCACGTCAAAACGAAGCGAAACCAGAAGTCAGCTGCGGTCAGCAGCGTGCCTTTGCCATGGCAAGCATACCCACACCCTTGTTTTGACCGCTTGGCAGAACTCAAAGACACCGACGGATCTGTCCACTTGGCCACCGTACTTCATTGCTTTCAAGCCCCGATCCAAGACACCATCCGGGATTTCCTGCTTCTGGAAGCCGACTTGTGTTGGAATTCCCATTGCTTTGGAGAAACTCTCGAGAAAGACGGTCTGGCCACGCCCTTCAAGGCGACCAGGGTCTGTGGTGATGACCGCCGCTCCGCTCTTGGCGGCCTCGCCAAGATGCCGTCCGAGTGCTTCCGCAAAGTCCTCCTCGTAGAGAAGGTCGGAAGCCACAACGATGTCAGGCTTCATTTCGAGGAGCTTCTCCGGAGAGTCCAGAAAGATGTCGAAGACCCCCGTTGAAATCTCGCCACCGGGCTGCATGCCCGCCGCAGTGAGGACCAGTTGGTGTGCCAGCAGGGAGACATCCGTGCACGTGACGCGAGCCGAGCAGCGATGGGCGGCAAGGGAGGGAAGGCCCGTTCCGCTTGCCAATTCCACGACATGCAAGTCTCCTTAGGCAAAGCAAAGCCAGCGATACATGCAGACAGGCCAATCGGAGCGGCAGCCTGCATGGATCAGCAGGTCTACACCAATGCTCCTATGACATCATAACTTCATAACTAGTTACTCACGTGGTCTGACTTCCCTGTGGCTCGAGTTCAGCTATTCGGGATCCGCGCGAGGGAACTTCATCTTAGAATGTTTCTTGACAGCTTCCGGGCTTGGGTGGCGTATGGTTTCCAGAGAGCAGGGATCGGAAGTCACCCTCTCAATGCAAGCCATGTTCTGGTTGCTTGGCCGGCAGCCCTCTTTCGATGTATTGCCCGAAGAACTGCACGTGCTGCCAAGAAAGAGGCAGGCCAGAATAAGCCACTGTACCTGAGACAACACAGTTGCATGAGGCCCTACGCGTGTAGCATGCTGGAATCCGATCAGGTTTTCAGGCGCGTTGCAACATGCTGGTGTACATTGAGGCTCGCAACTCCAGGCCGGAGGAATTTCTGCTGGGTGCCGGGATGTATTGGGAAGTGACGTACTGAAGCAGCGAAGAGAGCAGTCGCGGGTCAGCCAGATCCGCAAGCTGGACCACAGCCACTGGTTCTTCCAGAAATTCCGAATCGAAGGATATTTGGAAACTCTCGACCTCTGTCAGGCACAGTCGCGAACCTCGCAGTGTTATCATGACAGCCCTGTACAGGATTCCCCGGATCCTCCTGTGCCTTCGGGACAAAGAGATACTCGCCATACTGTGGCGGGTGCGTCGTTGATCCAAAAGCACCCAGGCCGCGGCATCCAGAAAGCAGCCAGAGAGGGACCTGCCGGAAGTTCGTCATGCTTTTCTTGAATCGCGACGAAGTGCTTGGAGCTTTAAGCCTGTGGCAGCATATCTCGCAGCCCCGAGAAGCCACGCCAAAAGCGCTGCCTGATCAGTGGCTCCTTTTGATGGGTTCGCAGCTCGCAGCTGGCATCGCCTGACCTGGAGCTTGTTCGAAGGTAGACCTCGCGCTTCACGTAGAAACGATGAATCTTTCCTGGCCAGGCATCTGCACCTTTCCGACATCTTGCAACTAGGCTCTGGATGGCTCCTTCTAGGAAAAGGAAAGGGTCATCCTCCCGGAGCACCAGGAAATCTTCATCCACATAGCTGACTGTCCTCTGTGGAACATCATGGTGTCGCTTCTGGGATGTGGGCCAAGGCCGCCCAGGTGCACGCGGGAGCTTTCCGTGCTTGCCGTCACCGGCGCCCCCGGGGACAAGCCGAGCTGCAGTGGTTGCTTTGTCCTTCCGTTCCTAGGACGTCGCAAGAGAGAGAGAGAGAGAGAGAGAGAGAGAGAGAGAGAGAGGAGGGGAGAGGGAGTTGTGTCTCACTTGCTGTGAGAAGCCCACATGCAAATGTCTGGGAAGCTGAGCTGCCAAGTAGCCAAGTTTCGGCATTGCCCTCTGCGTCTCCCAGAACAGCGTGGCATTCCAGCTCCAGTGCCTGAGAGATGTCCAGCCAGACCTTGCCACATGTTTGGATCGCCGCTGTATGGCCTTCAAAAGAATGACGGATCACCCCTCCACTTGTGATTCTCTTCTTGCACTCAGGCGGCTGAACGAATCACACGACCTTGTAAAGATGCTCCCATGCAGGCAGCTATCCTGGAAAGACCGGGGCCGGCTAGGAGATTGGAGAATCCGATGAGAGAAACTGCTGCTAAGGTGCAGCGTCGGTGGACGGGAGCCTGCGGTGTCTCCTCGCAGCCGGCAAGTCGCTTTCCGCAGAAACTCGATCTCTCAGAGGCGCGCGGGCCTATCAGCGTCCATTGTCCAGGCAAAAGCTCTTGTGGAGATCCCATCTCCAAACCCTCCAAGTGGGCGATCTGTGCAGCCACGTCCTCGAGGTTCCCCGAACCGGCAAAGCATCCGAAATACTGTAGCAGCTTGGCCTTTGCCTCAGCAGAGTCACGTCGTGACCTTAAAGCAATCCTCCGAGCCGTCTGGCAACACGTGTGGAGCATTTCGTTCTTTCTCGGTCTCCACCGGGATTGTCCGAAGACCAGACACAGTCCTATTCCGGCTGTGCCTGCACCGGTGGCTGGGCCATTGCCGTGGTTGGCACGCCACTTCGAGCACCGGTACGACCAGCGTCTTTGGCACGGCCGAAGAAAGTCCGGATGCTTGCTGCCGATAATGTGCAGATGCAGCATGGCAGCATGGAGTCAGCATGCACACTCCCTTCAGCAAAGGGGCAGCTTAACAACGAGCCAGGCAACGGCATGCCGATCCTACTCGAGCTCAGCAGCCAAGTGTGTGTGTGTGTGTGTTTGTTTGTTTGTGGGAATCTGCAAGCGCTACGCAGGATGCCGAGGGTTCCACGTTCGTGGAACCGCATCGGGGCGCCTGGTGGCCACGAAGACTCTCCTGAGCAAAACCACACAATACCTACACTGACCTTCACGCCGCACCTCATCCGAGTTTACTTTGAAGAAGGAACGGTGGAATTAGTGATGTGGCACTCGTCAAAGAGCAAAGTCTTCCGAAAGCATGTGCGTTTCGGTCTCACGAACGAAAACAAAGCAGACCGTGACCCCGGCTAACATCCTCGTCGCAATGAGTGCATGCAACTTTTGTGAAGTGCTACGTCGTTGACCAATCCCCAAAGTCGGCAAGTAGACGAAGATCTGAGAGGGCTGTGAGTCCTCTTGAGGACTTCAGCATTTGGACCGAAAGCCAGCAACATCTGCTCACGCTAGTCGGTAGCTGCCATCTCTCTTTGGCCAAGTATCTGCTCGGACGGACCACGAGGATCCACCTGCCCATGTCCAAGCGTGCAAAGCACATGAAAACCCACAGCTTGCGCAAGCATAGCCTCTGCAGAAGAAACGATCATTTCTATCAGCTCCTCTTCGAGCCTGCCAGGAAGCTCGTCCTAGCTATCCAAATACTTTTCATCGCTCCAGCTGGAAGCGCCTTCCCTTGTTCCAAACGCCAACCACCCTGGTTCCGCTTGGGTCCGTCAGGACACCGCGGCCATGCTCCTGGCTCCACCGCGATCTCAGCAGCGAAGAACCCCTCAACGGAAAACTTGCTTCTTGCAACTAAGAGGGCAGGTGGTCCTGATCTTCCAGGAGCTCGCCTACATACACGAGCCCGTTGGTGTATGTCTTTTTCCCGACCTGCCATGCAGCCCCTGACGGAACTCTGGACAGAATCGTTTGGGCATGCTGCCCCAGCCTTGTTACAGACGTTGTTTTCAAAGACTCCTGTAAGGGTCACGCCGGAAGACCACCTGTTGGTAAGATCGATGCATCTGTTGATGGGGGGCTGCATGTTGCGTGCACACGACGATAATCCCCATCTTTGTAGTTTTGCTGCGCTGGATCTGAGTTTCAGGCGTGTAGCAGCCCAGTCCATTGAACAGAGAGTCCTGCAAAGGTCAGCAGCAACAAATTCTGGAAGGATTTCGAACAGATACCTGGAAACCTGCCTTGAATTCACCCGTGTACTGGTCGTTGGTGATGAAAGTGATGGTTCCCCGGCCCTGGCTTCAGAAACCATGGCAGGCATTGCTAATGACACTTTGACACTGCTAAAATGGTACTAATTCAACAAACAAGAACCGGCTCCAAGCGTATTGAAAGCTGCACGTCTTGTTTCAGGATTTCATGGCTCTGTTCTCACAACCATGTCAATCAAAAGCACCTCCATGTTGCCAGCATGGAACTCGCCCGAATAAATCGAGCCACAGCTTGTTGTGAGGGTTCCCTGGCCATGTTCAACAGTCGCACGGACATTCGGACCGTGTTGCGGTCAGCCTGACCACTCATCTCCCCAAATTGCCACTGCCCACGGTAGATGTTCGCCTGCGAGGTGCTTTCAATTGCTGCTCCCGTCATCGTGAGTCTGAGACATGTCACCACACTGAACTTGCTGAGAAGCCTTGTCTGGCCATTCAAAGGTGCCTTCACCATGGTACAAACCATTGAAGAACCTTGCCAGGCACGGCTTAGTCATGCTTGGCCGCTGAGTCCATGTCACACATTCTGCCGTCTCGTCATGTGAAGGCTCTGAGCTGGGCGCTCTCCGACGTATCTGGCCTGAATGCAAGCATTTACATTGGCTTCATGGAAGGTTCTGGTGCACATGGCGGCCTTCACGGACCACTCCAGCACACCGTGACCTTGAAACACGTTGTGCTCGAAGGAGCCCTGTAAACACGCAGTGTCTCTCAACCGAAATTGCAGAACTCATGGGCACAGTCCTTGTAGCGGCACACACCGAAGTCGTCTGTCCAGCAAAGCATGCCCTCGCCGTGCATCATCTCATCCTCCAGAGAGCAATGCGAGCGGGTGCCTCATCCTAGCCCTGCTCGCGTCTTGAGTCCTGGAACTGGCCGATGTAGCGCCGCCCGTCGGGCCACTGGAACACGCCGTACCTAGATAGTGTGCATGTGGACTAGATGCCTTATTTTCTCAGAGCTGTCCGCATATAGAGCGCACTTGTGAATGCTGTTGTTCAGCAGAGTACCTGCGCACCAAGGCTTGCATCAGTGGGCAGACCTGGCGCATTCCGTCCCATCGCCGGTTCGGAGCCTGTGTACATGCATCCATTCGCCCACTTCTTTGTGCCCTGGGGTAATCCAGGGAAACTGAAGCCGAAAGTCTCACTGCTCGTGTGCATTTTGGGCCTCGCCGGTCGCTCCATGGTTTTCGAAGACTCCTGTGATCCTGGTGCCGTTGGGGAACCTGGCACAAAAATGACCACTCCACAAGTCAGGCTGGATCCAGCGCACCTGTGACAGCCGGGTCCCACAATTTCGCTGTTGTGCCAAAGCCCTTCAAATTCGGTACCTCGCGTTTAGCAAGAAGACGGCACATTCGGGTGTTCAGCATCTTCAGCGACGGGGCGAACCGTCAGGCCAGTGGAAAGTACCGCGGCCCTCGAGCTCGCTGTCATGGAACTGCCCCTGACCAGATATGTCTGCAGCCATGTTCCACAAGCATCGGAAATGCTGTCCGACGAGTCAGACGGGTGCGAACAGGTTCAAGAAACTGCGTAAGGTGGAAAGGAAGTGTCGAACCATACCCGAAGCAAACCTGGAACATGGGAGAGCCAAGCTAGATGCAGTTGACAGGCCTTAAAAGTCTCTGGAAAGCAATCAGGGACTGAAGATCACGTCCCTGCATCTTCAGACTTTCAGGCAGGGAGCAACAACGATGTTTCGAATCAACACGATATGTCTGTATCTTTACCACCGCATTCTTCAGGGAAATGATAAAACTCGTTCTGAGGCGACGGGACGGTGAACCCGGAAACCAAGCGCTTGCTGGTGATGTTGGCTGCCAATGGAAACGAAGCACACCTAGCAGCTAGCACACCTGAACACTAAGGGAAGGCAAGTAATGTGAGGAACTACACCGCAAACAATCAACAAACTCGAAGCACAAACATGACTCTTGCAGCATTCTCTCCCGGAAGCTCCACGCTGCACGAGGCTGGTGAGGGACTGCTGAACAGGGCATGTGGGGACCCTTTCTTCACGCGGGCGATGGCTTGCATACCCCTGAAGCACGTTACGGCTGGGAAACTCGAAGCACCTGAACTCTTGATGACCAACGAACCCGGAACCCTAACAGAAAATCGAGGCACTGCTGGCCAACCAGCAAACCTGAACATAGCGGCAACTGATGAATCTCCAGAGCGAAAACGAACCCAAAACGCTTGATGGCTGGCAACCCCATCTCATGAAAGCCATGGCTAGCAACCACCCAAACGCTACGTGAACCAGCGATGGACGGCACAACAGCTTTGCAAACCACATTCTCGAGACGCGAAGGTCTATTTTCTGCGGGAGATCGTGAACATGCTCGGAATGGCCGGACATCCATGTCCGTTCGTGTGGAGGAGCTTTCTCGGAATGGCGTAGTCAATACCAGGTAAAACCAAACAAACGAAGACAACGAGGGCAACAGGAAAATGTAAACGGCTACCAACCCCCGGACCGGGATGAAAACAAACAGAAAGGCCCCGGAACAGAAGCGAGGCACCTCGAACCAAGAGCCGTCTGGCAGGGTCTTCTTGCCCTTGCCTTCTATGCAGTTGTGCTGGAAGTCTCCTGAGTCTAACACAAGCACTCTGACTATCACCGGCACAGAGGGATTCGAAGTCTACGCCTTTGTAACAGGAGCCATCAGCCCAGGTCAGCTTGCCCTTGCCCTCTCGGATGCCATCCTTTCCAGAACCCAAGACATGATCCCGACACATGTGGTTGAGCACATACTCGAGCTGCACCTTCCACTCGCCATCGTACTCGATGCCATTTGGCCACTTCACCTGCACACGCAGACTGTGGCAAACTACGTGCTGGTTTGTCACCATGCAAAGCCAGGCGCGATTCTGCTCGGAGCGACTAGTAGATGTTTCCCGATGCACAGTCGTGCACTGGCAACACCAGTTAGTGCCTTATGAACCATCTAAGTGCGAAAGGTTTGCTATGCCAGATGCATCTTCGTGTCATTCTAGTATTCTAGTGATGAGACGGCTACCTGTTGGCTTCATGGCTGCACTTGCAGTACCAGCTCGTTAGGTCTTTCTGGATCCGCAATTGCATCATGGGCAGGTGCCCCATGTGGACAGAGCAGTGGGTGGGCATCACCAGTAGGATAGCGTCGAAGCAACACGCCTATGCGCACGGGACGAGGACAGCTTGTGTAGACGAAGCCCATGCAAGCTCCCAGAAAAGACAACTCGCATGACTGCCATATTTACACACGGTGGCAAGTTATCTCGTGCTCGCACCGACGCTGTCGCACCCAGCTGATTTTCACGTGTGTTTCCAGCACAGACCGGCCTTTCCACGACCATTCCTTGAAGCAAAAGAGATGGTCAGAACTGCAGCGCTCTCGGCAACCCGGATTCTTGCGATGCCCTTTGTGCAGAAGAGGCACATGCGATTTTGGAGCCACTGGCCGCTGTACACCCAGCCCTCCTCTGCACTTTCGAAAGTGCCCTGCCAATGTCACTGTCTGAGGACGACGGCGATTGGAACTTCGCTCATATCTTCACCCACCTCGCCCTCCTGCATCCCATGCTTGAAGTTGCCGGCATAGCGATCGCCATTTGGCCAAGTGCGAGTTCCCTGATGCACTCGTATGTCGAGCGGGAGTTGCGCAGTGATGCAAGGCTTTACAGGCACGTTCCCTCAAACCTCGCCTTGCCATGGAAGACGCCCTTCTTCAAGCTGCCGATGTACTCCTGGCCGGGCCGCAGCGAGCTTGGAAAAAGCCGAGAAGGAATTGCCGGCGCCTCTCCCGACGGCCAGGACATCTTGCCGTCGCCCCACATCTGGTCCTTAATGCACCGGGCGTGCGCCGACATGAAGTAGCGGGTGAGGCTTCCTCACGGGCCTTGCGCCACTCGCCATCGTAGGTGCGGCCGGTGGGCCAGGTCTTCTTCCCGCTGCCCCACATGTAGCCCTGCACAGAGAACGGCTGCAACAGCTCAGACATGAACAACTTCTGGAGTAGCCGTGTGCAGTCAGAGACCAGTGCCATTGGTGGACTTTGTAGAAGCATGGGTAACTCTCCAATACTAGCCTCTTGCAGCAAAGCTTTGCATGTTGCTGCTTGGACGGCCTCATGGAACTCACCGAAATACTCGCTGCCGTCGCTCCAAATGTAGTGGCCCTAGCAATCCGTGCTGACATCTCCACAGGGTTTGGTCAGGTGGAAGCAGCTTAACATGGCTTAACATGAAGTCCTGCCTCGCCATGCATTCGGCCGTTGAGCCAGGTGCCAACCTCAAAGCTGTTTCCGGTGGCGAGTCATGCTGCAGCACTTACAGATCGGCGAGGCATGAACGTAGGAGTTGCCGTTGGAGAAGATTCTCTGATCCTGATTGCAGAACGGGAGCGGTTTCAAGCCCAGCCGTTCTCGCTGCTCTCCTTGACAACTCTGTTGGTCGTCAGCTTGTCACTATCTGGCTTCCTCGGTGTCACCTCGGAAGCCGGAGTCCCACAGAAGGAGAGGGCGTCTGTCCCTTCCCGACCGGGAGCTGAGTGGAAGGCCACGCCGTGATCGAGGCCTGAGCGCTTCTCAGAGATGAAGTGCTCGATGTTCAGCGTGTTGTCCTGGCTCCAGAGTTCAGCCGAGAGATCGGCGCCCCGGCCACGCCCGGGGGACCGGCCTTCCGATTCACGTGCTCGTCCGGTAACCTGCTGGGCACCTCCAGGCTCTCGCGAGAGCAAACCCCGAGCCGAAGGCCACACGACGCGCCTGTTGTCTTCCACGAGCCTCGCGCAAAGGAAGTCGAGTCCCATTGTAGCCGTCTGCCTGGCTGAATGGGCTCATGACATGTTGAGGGAAGCGCCGGAAACATACACTCGCAAGCCGCGGACACGCGCGACTGTGGCCATGTTGGCTGCCTTTGACAGCAGAAGCATGACCACCAAGAAAGCCCGCAGACACGGCCAGGGAGGTGATGAAGCGCTGCAGACTTGAGGCTCCAGGCAGGGCGTCGGGCAGGCTGCCACCCAGATACTGTGAGTTTGAGCCCCAAGACAGGCCGCAGCAGCAAACCACACTAAGGTCGTTATTTTGCTTTGGGCTCAAATGTGCCTGGCAACATCTTCTGCGGGTGCCCTCCGCTCCTTTGCTGCATGTTGCCGTCTCTGTGCATTTGCAGGCTGTTGCTGCACGCACTGCACTGCCTTTGGCAGGAACGCCTCTAGAAGTGAAACTTGCAGCTCGCAGGCTGCGCAGGCCCCCGGGCGTGCGCGCGGGAGGTTTCCCCAGCGCTCACACGGGCCCAAGGCAGCGCATGAAAGCGTTGATGTGCTTGATCCTTGCCAGGGGCCGGGCCCAAGCATGAGCTCAGCGATAAAGCGAGAGCCCGTGGGCCGTGTGCGCCCTCCAAGGCGGGAGCCCCATAGGCAGCCGTCGGACGGGGGAGTAGAGTTGCGGAGGTACCCTGGTGTACCTCGAAGCCGAAGTTGACATGAAGGGAAGTGGTCCGGTGTGGTGGTCCGTTAATAAGGCCATGACCGCTTAGCACATCGGCCCAGCATCAGTCTACAAAGCCACAGGAGGAGTGGAATAGAGCAGGACACCTGAAGGCACAATCAATATGCCACGCTGCCAGCATGACACAAGGCCCGTCTGTGTGAGTGACCCTCAAGAGCTCGTTCTGGAAGCAGTCCTGTGGCATTTCTTGCTTGCTCATAGAGCTGTTTCGTTTGCGGCTGCAACAGTCCTGCATCCAGTACAACTCGAAGATAGGCGGGATGTATGTGATGATCTGCGCATTCGGGAGCAGTCCAGTCTTGCGCTCGGGATCTCAACTTTCCGAGGCCGCAGCAACCAGCCAAACGAAAAGACCCAGGCTCACAAGATCGGCAAGGTTCTCCTGCCACGGCAAGTGAGACCACAGGATGAAACACCCTGTGTCAAAATCTGCTGCAAGGGCTCCAGCATGGGCAAATTCTTGCAGAAGAAGCCAGCCAGCTTCGACAACAGGCTGATTTTGATGAGCTTCTCCTTGCGAGATGGGATTGAATTTGAGAGCCCCAGGTCCTGGTCAGGGAAGGAAGGGAGGGAATATAGCTCTGGCTTGGCCATGCACGCAACGCGTCCCATCAGCAAGTGCTATGCACACTCCACAACCTGCGTTCGATCTGACTGCAGTGGCACTTGCTTGCCCGCACATGCCCTCACACAAACACTTACTTACTTACTTACTTACTTACTTACTTACTTACTTACTTACTTACTTACTTTACTTTACTTAACTTTACTTAACTTTACTT